ATGGCACTGGAGCGGATTGTTCTGGATCAGGGCCGGACAGACGTCGACCGCCTTGGTGCTGGGTTCTATTTGACTTTGGTCTATGGGAGGCTGCGATACAGCGACGCTCAACAAGTATCACAGCTGACGTTGGACATGCCGAATGCCGAGCAAGGTTTTTTGGAAGGAGTGGCAGGTCGCACAAAGACCAGCGTGAGCCTTGAACGAAAATGCAGGTTTTTACCAATTGCAATCCCAACTTTGTCCCTCTCTGACCAACCATGGATTCCAGTCTGGATGGAACTGAGGGAAAAACATTTTGGGGCTGCAAAAGGAGATGAAAGAATGCCATTGCTTCCAAACCCTGCAACTGGCAACACCTGGTCGAAAATGCCTCTTGGAGTGAGTGCTGGTAGCCAGTGGCTTCGAGCGTTGCTGAATGGAGTTCCACACAACTCCAGTGTGCCATTGGGGACCCACAGTTGCAAGGCGACCCTCCTGAGTTGGGCAGCCAAATGGGCCATGCCACATGGCCCCAGGAGGATCTTGGGGTATCATTCGGAAGGTCGTGACAAGAGCCTTCTCACATACAGCCGCGATGGGATGGCAGGACCTTTGAGACTTCTTTGCAAGATGCTTCGAGACGTCAAGGCAGGGCGTTTTCTTCCTGACTCGACCAGAAGTGGTCGCTTTCCAGGAGATCTGATGGACGAGGAAGCAAATTTGGAAGATGCAAGATCCGACGCCTCTTCGAGTTCATCAGATGGCTCAGAGAATGAATCCGACATTGACCCGGAACCGGAAGAAGCTGCCATCAAGGAGATTGTGGGCAAGTGGGACCCAGGACTTGAGAACCTGGACGATGAAGGAATCTGTTTTGCACGGCACAAGATTTCGAGATGCATACATGTCATGCAAGATGAGGCTGGCAATCTTTTCAAATGTGGCAGAAGAATGGGGACAGCATACGTGACCCTCGAAGAGAAGCCAGCCTTCATGCACCCACTTTGCAACATATGTTTCAGATGACAGCTTGGCGATCGCACGCAAAGTAAAAGTGAAAGCGGCAGCATTGTTTGACCTGTGTGTAGGGTCAAATATGTGTAGCGAAACCAGTGCATCTCCAATGCAGGAGACAGTTTTTCGCACGTGCATGTGCATTTGTGATGTCGGAGTGAACCCCTGAGGGAATTGTGAATCCGATCCATGTGCTGCCCTATGTGGACTTCATGTGAATGTATGTGACGTGGATCAAGTTGCATGACTGTGAATTTATGGATGTTGCAATGACAAATGTTTGTAGGCTGTAGTCAAGTTCATTTTTCTTTCAACTTCACGACACAAACTGGAGTCATGTTACACGAAACGGTTGTCATAAGATGTGCAGGTCCCTTCAGGATGTCCAGGTTTTGACAATCGCATGCGTACACCTGAGCCTCAGCTTAGCACCGGGTGTTGCCGCCATGAGTTTTGGAGACAGTGAAGCAGTTTTCAAACAAAGAGCTGGTGAAATTGGTCTGGAGACAGACGTTGTGGAATGTCTGACAAATGAAGGAATCAAAACGATGGCACTTTTTGCTTTCAGTTGCAATTTTTCTCCAGGATCTCCTGATGAGAAGCCCTTCACAGATTTGATTAGAAAACTTCTGAAGAGAGACCCCAGCACCCTCGAGTTGTCTTGCATGAGGCGTTTGTTCAATGAGAGCTACGCCAATGTGGCATCTGATATCAAGGCCCGAACGGAGGCCACAGATGAGACTCCAGCCAGGCGCCTGGCTCCAGCTGAGCGTGCAAGTCGTTTGAAAGATCAGCAACTCCGTTTGGCTGGCATCAGTATCACTGGGCAGTATGAACCTGGAGATACATTGATCGATCGTTGCATCAGCATTTACGACAGTGACAGATTGCAGTACGTTGAATGGTCCTCGGCAGTTTCGAGGGAACATGAATTGCTGTCGGGAACCAAGAAAGATGCTTCACTCACCTTTGATGCTTCAGGTTCATTGAAAATGGCAAAACAACAGAAAGCAGAGCCTTGTTCCACAGGAAGTGAAATTCAGGTGCGATACTGCTTGGTCAGGAGAGCCTTGGCTTTTGACCAGTCAAACTTGCTGGACTTCAAACTGATGGAAACGTGGACAGAGAAACTTTTGCAGAGCCGTTTGGAAGAACCTTCTCCAGGCTTTGCACGAACGACAATGAAACAATTGGAGTTAGCAGATAGGAAGTTGTTTTGCATACTGGCTGAGAAAACGAGAGAAGGCATCAAATGCACAACCATGGGGAGGCCCTTGGATTTGGTTTTCAAAGATTGCACAGAGTCGTCAGAAGTGCTCGCGCTGCTTCAACCTCGACCCATCAGCATGTCAGCGCAGCCAGAAAGAACCAGGGAAGCCAATAGCAACGCAGGCGAACCACCGGCCAAGAAACCTAGGCGTGAGGGTGGAAAGGGTAAAGGAAAAAGCAAGGGCAACAATGGAGCCTTTGTCCGAATTCCCCATGACCTCTTGAAGTTGAGTTGCGTTGCAGCGACCCCCAAAAACCACAGGATTTGCTTTTCTTACAATTTGAAGAAATGTGAAGTGAATGGGCAGAAGTGCCCAAAAGGCTTGCATGTGTGCGCTGTGCAGGGTTGTTTTCGTGGTCACCCTGCCTTAGACTGCGAGAAGGGATCGTGACAAATGGCTCATAGCTGTCAGACCCTCGGAAAAGCGTCAAATGAAGACGCTGTTGTTGAAAACAGTGCCGAGGGCGAGCTTGAGACCCATATGCATGTGGACACAACGAATGTTTTTCCTGAAAAGGCAGATACAAATTTTTCGGATTTTAAACAGGTTGATGATGTGGGCACAAAGGCAGACAAACCATACGTTTTTCTTGAGCTATGCGCCGGGAGCGCTTCCTTGTCGGCGGAGGTGAAGAAGATTGGAGTTGAAGTTTTTGCGTTCGACCATGATTCAAACAGGCATAAAACGAAGTGCAAGGTCACCAGTATGGACCTCAGTCAACCGTATGCCATGGACAGGATTTCTGCAATGATCCACAATTGTGTGCTGTTGGGGGTCCACATAGGGCCCCTGTGCGGGACATGCAGCAAAGCGAGAGGGATCCCGATGGCAGATGGTTCAGCAGGACCCCAACCATTAAGGTCGGAGTCACACCTGTTAGGCTTACCAGACCTACGTCCTCATGATCGTGCCAGAGTCGATGCGGCGAACTTGCTTTATTCGCAGTTGGGACGGTTGGTCGAAATTTTGGAATGCCACAACATACCTTGGACGATAGAGAACCCCACTAACAGTTTTCTGTGGGACTTGCCGTTTTTCGCTTTTGCAATGGCTCATGGGACCAAATTTGACTGTCATGCATGCGCATATGGTAGCACCAGAAAGAAGTTGACAAGTTTTTTGGCCAACAGGGATGAGTTTCAGGCAATGTCCAAGTTTTGTGACGACGTTGCACCGCACCAGCATGAGGGTTGGGGCTATGACAGCGACAACAAGTGCTTCAACACGGCGAAGGAGGCGGAATATCCACTACAGATGTGCCAGCAGTATGCACGTATACTGGAAGGTTTCATGGACAACACTTTACTGCAGGCGAAAACTGACAGAATGTTGCCGCAGATTCAGCCAAAAGGCAGAAAAACACCCCAAATCATTCCTGAATTTTTGGATGTAACTACTTGCGTGTTGGATGCAGTACCGGCAGTTGACAGCAAGAAACAACTGGTACATGCACAAGGTCCCATTCCTGCTGGTAGCAAACTTCTGAGAGCTGAAGCGAACAAGGGGAATCCATCCAAGTTTTTGTGCGTTTTTGGAATTTACCGTACAATGTCGCAGTTCGTGAGCTGCGCAAAAACTCTGTGGCACCCATTTGATGAACTGAGAAATCTACCAGATAACATGATCAAAGCGCTCTTCATGAACCTGACCGAATCACCACACCTTTTGGCTAAACAAAGATGCCAATTTTTGAAGAAATGGTCTTCAAGAGCGGTTCAGTTGCAGTCGGAAGAACTGAAAGTGCATCAGTCCATGTCGGTGCATGTGCAGCGCATCATGGCAGGGAAACGAGTGTTGCTGATGGAAGAGCTGGCGACTGAAATGGGTTGGCCCGACATGAGCCTCTTCAAAGAGATGAGATCCGGTTTCAAGTTGGTTGGCAACTTCGAGTCCATTGGCGTATTCAAACCTGGAGTGACCATTCCCAGCTTGAGCGAAGAAGAGCTGAAGAAGAACAAGTTTTTACGTCCGGCCATCTTGGGTCGTCTGAGAAATTTTGAGGACGATGAACTGCAGAAGGAACTCTTTAGAACGACCCTTGAAGAAGCAACTGAGAAAAGGTGGCTGGATGGACCTTATGATGTTAAAGAAATGCACGAACAGCTTGGAGACGAATGGTTGCCGGTGAGAAGATTTGGAATAATGCAGAAAGAAAAACTTAGGCCGATTGACAATTTCAAAGAGTCGATGCTCAACCTTACTTTTGGATGTTTTGAGAAGATAGAACTGAAGGCGATGGAACATGTCCTTTGGATGCTGGTGACACTTGTGAGATACATGAGACTCTTTGGCGAAGTTGCGTTTGTTTTGAGCACTGGCGAGGTTTTGAGAGGTCATGTGCACCCTGCATGGAACAAGGTCGCTTTTGGTGTAGAGGCTACGTGCGTGGACATGAAAGCAGCCTACAAACAGTTGCCTTTGAACCCTTGCGAATACCACAGAACTGTTGTCAGCCTTTGGGATATTCAGCATAACAAACCATCCTGCTTCCTGATGAGAACGTTGCCCTTTGGGGCGGCAGCAAGCGTACATCACTTCCTTAGGGTAAGCAGTTTCCTGCACTCTGTGGGCCTTTATGCTGGGCTGTGCTGGGGAGCGTACTTTGACGACTTCCCTGTGGTTTGCAACGTTGCCAGCAGACAGAGCACCTTGTCGACGGCCTTGGGACTGTTTGAACTATTGGGTTTTGCTTGCAGCAGTGAGAAACTAGAGCCCTTTGGTAAGGTTGCGACGATGCTTGGAGTTGAGCTTGATTTGGAGAGCGCGGCAGATGGTTTTATCAGAGTTCGGAACAAAGCTTCCAGAGTGGAGGAGGTCTCAGGATGTATCAACGAAATTTTGCAATGTGGTTTTGTGGATGCGAGCAAGTTGCCCTCCTATTTGGGGAAGCTCCAGTTTGCCGAAGCTCAGTTGTGGGGCCGTGCAGGAAGACTTGCTTTAGCTGATTTGAGGGAAGCAACAGTGCACAAGTCTGGGTCAGTTCCTGTCACCCCGGAAGCCCGAGAAGCGCTGTTGGTCTTGCTGGAGAGATTCACAAATGGAAAACCCAGAGAAATCCGAGCGTCAATGCCATGCAAACCACACTTGCTGTTTACAGACGGAGCCTTGGAATACGACACAGATGGCCGACCCAAAGCCACCATCGGAGGTGTCATGTGCGACAGAGGAGGACAAGTATTTTGTTTTGGATGCAATGTACCTGAAAGTTTGCTGCAAGCGTGGCAGGCGAGAGGGAGGACACATGTCATTGGGCTAGTCGAACTTTATGCTGCAGTGGTTGGTTTGAACACTTGGAAGAGGGCCTTTTGCAATGACCGTGTGATTTTATTCACCGACTCCTGGCCCGCATACGACGTGGTAGTCAAAGGAACCTCAAGCGTCAAAGAATGGCGCGACGTTTTGCTTGCTCTGGAGGTTATCGACGAGAGTCATCCCATGCACCTGTGGACCGCCAGAGTCCCTTCCTCTTCAAACCCTGCTGACCCTCCAAGCAGAGGGAGGATCTCGGAAATAGCTTTTCTTGGAAAGATAAATGTAATTGACCCTGAGTGCCCCATATCAAAGACCAGAATGAAATCCTACGACGTGACTTGAGCTGAAGCGGACGAGGGGATAAGAAATGAGAATGTGAAACATGTGTGAAACCAAAAGTGTGAATTTTGTCAATGGACAAAGATGTGAAGCACAATCATATGTATGATGTGCAATGGTGAAAACTTTCAGATTTCCCCTCGACTGCCAAAGCGGAAAAACAATGCGTGTGTCCACTCGTATTTCATTTTTATGTTTGCTGTGTTTACCGTGAGGGAGAGAGCGAGTGTCGTCGTTGAGGGTCTTTGATGTTTTGGGGTTTGATGTGATGTTTTGTATATAGTATGTGTTATGTTTTGGATATAAATACTTGTATGTGTTTTGTGCGTAATGCGCGCTTGTTTTTGAAGGGTCACCCATATAGCTATAAGGTTGCGTTTAGCTTGCTAATAGCGGTTTATAGCTTAGGGTGAAAGTGAACGATGTGAACGCCCTTCAAAAAAAAACAGTGTATTTTTGTGAACATGTTTCTGGTGCACGAAACACGTGACGTGAATGTTTCAAATGAAATCTTTTGGAACTCTGTGTTTCATGTTGCATGTATAAAAAAAAATGTTCCTTGAATCAGACGTGCAATTCAAGGCAAAGGTATGAGGTTTCACATGTTTCAATCAACCTTTTAATGTGCGTGGCATTCACATGAAATATATGTACCACGCCGCCTCAAACAGTGGTGGGTGGGCGGGTGTGCCCATTACAAAAATTTTGTGTTTGCCCCACCCTCGTTTCTCGTCTCCCTACCCTATGCAAACACTATGGGGGATAAGAAATGAGAATGTGAACTTTGTCAATGGACAAAGATGTGAAGCACAATCATATGTATGAGGGGATAAGAAATGAGAATGTGAAACATGTGTGAAATCAAAAGTGTGAACTTTGTCAATGGACAAAGATGTGAAGCACAATCATATGTATGATGTGCAATGGTGAAAACTTTCAGATTTCCCCTCGACTGCCAAAGCGGAAAAACAATGCGTGTGTCCACTCGTATTTCATTTTTATGTTTGCTGTGTTTACCGTGAGGGAGAGAGCGAGTGTCGTCGTTGAGGGTCTTTGATGTTTTGGGGTTTGATGTGATGTTTTGTATATAGTATGTGTTATGTTTTGGATATAAATACTTGTATGTGTTTTGTGCGTAATGCGCGCTTGTTTTTGAAGGGTCACCCATATAGCTATAACAGATAAAACAGGCGAGGATGTGTCAGTGGACAGTGACCAATCGGAATACTTTGACGCCCTCGAGACAGATGATGACACTCCGTATTTCCAACAAGGAGCTGAGCCTCCCCCAAGAGAGCAGTGGGAAATTGCCGCACCTATCGACTTCTTCGATGTCCAGGGAGTCTTGCAAATAAGCCGCCAGCTCGATGAACTTCTCCTCTCGGAAAAAGAAATTGAAACTCCACTCGGCATGGACGATATCAAGCAAAGGTGGAAGTGGGCCGATGTCGGCTCTCGTCGAATGCCCCAGTCACCCCTGACATACCCAGCCATCATGGTGGACGAAGGGAATGGAATCCGACGCCCCGCAGCTAGCCAGGTCCATCATAGGACACTCTTCCAGTGGATAATAGATAACCTCTCATGGTTGCCACAGTATGCCACCGTTTATGTTTATGTGGACAACCGCAAACTGTCAGGCACTGATCCTCCGGCCTACTGGCCACATTTCGCACCCTGGATCAAAGGCAGATGTACAGTTACTGGCCCCTACCGGGAGAAGACAACTGCTATCCATTTTCCCATAAATGCTGATACAGGTTTGCATCAGGTCCACTATACCTGGGCTGGTGCTGCAGCCCTGGAGGCGCTGTGCCTAATGTTTCCCACTGTAAATTTTGCACTAATAGCCTCTGACTGTGTGCCGACCTCATTATTTGAGATAGCCGAATTAGTCAACCTCATGACGGACAAGGCAAGCAGAGCCGAAGCAATGCAACACAACACTATGGCCAGCTCGAGCCAGTGCCCGCCGGCAGTGCTCCTTGCCACAGAAGCCAAAGCTGAACTCAATGCCGGCTTGATCATTGTGACAGGGCATATCCCGACCGGTACAGCAGATGTCGATATGGACCAGGCAACCCCGGATACATTCATGCCCCTGACTGCTGCCCAAGGCTCCTCTTCAAGCGATGCACCCGCCCCAAAAGCACGACGAATAGCCCACCCCGCCAACCGCAGATCAGCAGATGAATGGGTTACCGCACTCCAAGATAGCCGAGCCAGTTTCCTAGCTACTACAGCTGTGCCAGAAGACCCCGCGGAGGCGATGAGAGGCGGGCTACTTCTCACCCCTTTACTAGGATGTAAAGCTAGAACCCCGCTTGACTGGACACATGCATGGGCAATGCTAGGCGAATGGGCTGGAGCCATTGCATTCCCCATCCCGGAGCAAGGAGAATGGCCGCGTCATGGAGATGGTCGCTACTTAAGACCGGACTTTGTCGAGCGGACCCCGCCCTTCCTTACCTGGGCGCGCCCTATATTCGAGCAAGGTGCACTCTCTCCTATGTCTGTCTTCCCAGCCGACTTCCCCATACTCTGTCTCCCAGGAGACAAATTGTTCCAAAGCAAGGAGTTAGACAGAGGGTATAGCCTGCCACCAATAGTGCACGCCTTCCATGGGAGTAAAGTAGGCCTGGGGCACCAACTCCAACAGTGGCAAAGCAAAGGGCTGCAACCGCTTGCAGTGTCGCTCATAGGAGTCGATGAGGCACCCCCGCTATGGACGCACCCCACAGGCTGCGATTTCGTTAGAGGGAGTAAAATAATCGCCAAGCCACATGTCCCGCAAAAGCGCAGTCTTACCAAGACGCAAGTGTCGCTGCTTCAGAGCCTTTGGACGCCAGTGGAAGCCCCTAATTGCAACAATGATCACACACCCTGGCCCAAGACTTGCGAGCCTGCGTGTGTCTTCTGCGGTCAGCAAGCGAGCCTCCAGCTCCCTACTGCCCAAATCCTCCCGCTCCTAGAAGCACTGCAACGACGACGGTGTCACTCTTTTGAAAAAAGATGAAAGCCTTATTTCTCCAAACAAAAATTTGTGAAATCTCACAAATAAGGATCAACTTAAACTCTCTTGGTTTGGTGGTAAACAAACATGGTCAGGTTGAAACATACAACCAAACTTTGGTGACGCAAACAAGTTGGCGTTTTATTTCAAAATCCATTTTCAATACACCCGATGTGGTTTTCACCAATTTCAGTGAAACAATCCACATCTGTCACATGTCACATCATAGATGGAAATGTGTGGCTGTTCCCAATCAAGTGGTGGGAGGGAGGGTGTCCCTTTTAAATAAGGGCAATTTTTGTCATCGGTGCATGGTTGCTCGTTTTCGTGCCGATACATTGCGTGACAAAGGGCGCACCGCATTCCAGAGGCCCTCTTTGCAATCTCAGTCGTGGTTGGTTTTTCATTTGGCCAGTGGTTTCTGTCTTGGAGTCATTGCAACTTTTGCTTGGCTTCTGTGGGACATTGACACTCAACATCCTGGCAAGTGACTTACAGCACGGCTTGCAATCTTCAGCCTCGGTGTTTGGCATTTTCTTGCAACTACTCAGCACTGCAGTATATTTACAACAATTTTTTCCTCAACATTGTGGACATGGGTTCAGCCGAATCACAGTTTGATGATGGGGTTTTGCCGGGTGATTCACAAAGAGAAGAACGCTCACCACAGTTCCTTACCCCAGATATGCTGGAAAGGACTTGGTTGGACCTGGACCCAAGCCCGGACCTAGAATTGCCTTGGGAAAAGGGCATTTGGGGAAGTATCTTTTGCAACAAACCATTTTGCGTCAGCCCTCAACGGAAATGGAAGCGTTTGGCTTGCCCAGCAGACCCGCAGCGGGAGCAACCGGAGAAGCCTACAAAGATGCCCAGGCGGATTTTGGTGGCTGACCATTGGAGGCAAATCGTTGCCAATACAGATGCAATTTCTTGGAAAGAAGACCAAGAGGCCAAGATGGATGTTGCTCTGAAAAGATGGTTTGACATCATTTCGCAGTTTCCCGAATTTCACGAAACAGTGAAGCAGTTACATCTCCTAGCAGGTCTCGCCGAACAACTACGCATGCTCAGGGATATTTTATCCGGGAAGGCTCCAGCCACGTTGATCAAGAGAGCCAACTCCATGCTCAAGTACATTGAGAAGCTAAGAGAGGCCAAGGTCCAAGTTCCAGGCGACGAGTCTTTCCTATATGCATATTTTTGTGACTTGAGAAACAGCGGCATTGCCTTGAGTAGACTCAGATCTATTGTGGAAGCCATTAGATTTACAGAATTTGTCTTTGGCATCGAAGGGCTCAGTCAGAGACTGCTTTCTAAGAGATGCATTGGGGCTTCCAGGAGAGTGGGTGAGACAGTATTGAAACAGTCTGACCCTTTCACCGTCGAGCAGCTGTCGATTCTTCATGGAGTTCTGCATGACAAATCGGCCCTTTTTTGGGATAGATTGGTCAGTGGCGCTTTGGTGGCGGTATACACCAGGTCAAGATGGATGGACATGCAGCACACCGACGAGGTGGTGATGGATCCGGACCCCAATGATCCAGTTTTTGTCGAGCTCAAGATCAAAGAGTTCAAGACCAAGAAAGCGAACGCCTGGAGGGGTGGTGTCATGGCAGCAGTTGGGCCGGCACTAGGAGTCGTGCAGGGCAACTGGGTCAGAACTTGGTGGGAGCTCCGACAACAGCTGGGCGATCAATTTGGGTCAGGTGTACCTTTGATGCCAGCACCTGATGGCGAGGGATCAGCAACCGTTCGGCCACTCAGCACAGAGGAGTTCAGCAAGTGGGTCAAAATGATCCTGGACAGGAATGGTGGTTTGCCAGAGGATTGCAAGATTTCGAGCCACTCATGTAAGGCTACGCTGCTCAGCTTTCTGGC